GCACACACTGCCTACTGGCTTCTACAGAAAACTAAAGGCCACTGTTGTTTGCCTGCTGTTTCTGAAGTATTTTCGTAATCCTTTTATGGGCTCCTGAATGCTTTGTGTGTCGCACAGGCCTTAACTCACTGTCCCTGCCTCTGTGCATCCTAAACTGTGCTCCTCTTAGGCAAGATCCGGCCCTGTACAGGAAAAATGTCCACACTGTCCACCCTCTAAACCTGCGGGTCTCCTGAGCTGAATCCTGCAGGCAGCAGACTCCTTGAAAGCAACATTTTAAATCTGATTTCTCCAGTCTCTCATGTCTAGCAGAGTGCATAACACAGTGAGGGCTTTGAAATGTGTGGACGAGGGAGGACTGGATGGATGGATGGATGGATGGATGGATGGATGGATGGATGGATGGATGGATGGGTGGGTGGGTGGGTGGATGGATGGATAAATGGATGTGTAGACGATAGAGGTTGGATGGATGAAGGATTTGTGGATGGGTGGATAGACAGATGAGTGGGTGGATGGACAGATAGTTGGATGACCAGATGGATGGATGGATGGATGGTAGATGGGTGGGTAGATGATGGATGAATGGTTGGATGGACAGATAGTCATGATGGGATGGACAGATGGATGGATGGAGCAAACAGACATGTTGTTGTAGTTGTTATCAGACTGCCTTGAATCTGTTACTTCCCATGCAGTGCACACCGCCATTCCCTCGCTTAGCCCTTCAGTGTCGGTTCAGGAACGTGTGCAGGCTTCCCTCCCTGCTTCTAACTCAGCTCTGTCTCAGCCGCACTTTACTCGCCAAGCTCCTCGCGTGCCTGGCTGTCATGTCACCCTACTGCTGATGCCACATAGGCTGTTGTAGGAACAAACTACCATTCGAGCTGCTCCTATTTCCATTTGGGGGCTTTTCCATGTGGCACCCCAATCAATGTTCTGTGCCCAGCGAACAGAGAAGCAATACTGAGCAAAGGCAGCCCCATCCTCAGGTGGGCCTGGCCTGCTCCTCCCTGAACCAGGATTCAAACGCAGACATCCCAAGTGACCTCCCACCTCCCTTCCCCTTGGCCCGTCCCCCATCTTACCTGGCTGGGCCCTCCTCCCGTGTGGCACCTCCTGGAAATGCCCATTTGCAGAAGCGATCATCAATGGGAGGAGCCCACTGCCTCTCCCCAGGCACCACCCCCAAGGTCCATCCTGTCCCACAGGAGTGCCAGCCCCAGCTGCATGGGGCCACCTCCACTGTTCTCAAGGCCTGAGCCAACAGAAGGGGCCAAAGAATGAATGGAATGGCCCGCCTCCGTTCATTCCTTGCATTGACTCTTCCTAAGTAAGGTTTTGTTAAAATATAATTTATAAGCAATGAAAATCCCATTGCACTAATAGAACTGTTTTACGGAGGGTTTGTGCAGCTGTTTTTTTTTCTTTTTTTGTCAGTTGTGAGACCTGAACTCTGGGCCTGGGCACTGTCCCTCAGCTCTTCAGCTCAAGACTAGCACTCTACCACTTGAGCTACAGCGCCACATACAGCTTTTTCTGCTTATGTAGTGCTGAGGAATCAAACCCAGGGCCTCATACATGCAAGGCAAGCCCTGTACCACTGAGCCACCTTCCCAGCCGGATTTGTGCAGGCTTTTTTTTTAATCTTACTCAGGCCTGGGAAGGTGGATCAGTGGTAGAGGACTGGCCTTGCATGCGTGAGGCCCTGGGTTCAATTCCTCAGCACCACATAAACAGCTTTAAACTGAAGAGCAAAGGGACAACACCCAGGCTCAGAGTTCAGGCCCCATGATCAACAATAACAAAAAAAATCTTATTCAGTCTTTTTATAAAAATAATTTTCATAGCCGGGCGCTGGTGGCTTACGCCTGTAATCCTAGCTACTCAGGAGGCTGAGATCTGAGGATCGCGGTTCAAAGCCAGCCCGGGCAGGAGAGACTGTGAGACTCATCTCCAATAAACCACCAGAAAACCGGAAGTGGCGCTGTAGCTCAAGCGGTAGAGCGCTCGCCTTGAGCTGAAGAGCTGAGGGACAGCACCCAGGCCCAGAGTTCAAGCCCCACAAACGACCAAAAAAAAATAATAATAATTATCAAAACTTTTGACAATCATGAATAACAGCCAGGCTGGGGGATGGGGGGCATTCCTTGTGATCCCAGTGGCTAAAGAAGATCATGAATGTAACTCTTACCTTAAAAAATAAGTACACTTGGGCTAGGAATGTGGCTTAGTAGTAGAGTCCATGCCTAGCATGCATGAAGCCCTAGGGAAAAGCTACAAGTGGCGCTGTGGCTCAAGTGGTAGTGCTAGCCTTGATCACAGAGAGGCTCAGGGACAGTGCCCAGGCCCTGAGTTCAAGCCCCAAGATTGGCAAAAAAAATAATAATAAATACGTTGACACAGTACCTCAAGTCTGGAGACAAAGCACAATATCAATGTTCAAGGCTAGCCTGAGCAAAAAGAATTTCTCTAGACTCCATCCCATCGCCTGACTGAGCCTGCTGGCACATGTCTGTTATCTACCCATGAGGAAGCACAAGTGGGCGATCACAGCTGGGCCCAGGCATAAAGCAAGACCCCCAACTCCTAAATAACCAATGCATAATTGGTTGCTATAGATGTGGCTCAAGTGGTAGAGCACCTCTCTTGCAAGCATAAGGCCCTGAGTTCCAGGCCCAGTATCCCACACACACACAGGCCTCATGGTCCTCACTGCTCTGAGCCTGGGAAGGGCTCCCTGGCTGCTTGCTGCCAGGTGTGGCACTTTGTGAAGGCAGCCGTTCAAAACCACGCTCCAACGTCTAGTCCATCTTCTTGTCCACGCCTCATCAGAACTGTGGGTGTGTTCTGTGGCCTGGGGCCACAGAGGCACCTGTCTCCGGGGGTGCCTGTAGACCCCCGCCAGCCCAGCACCTCCTAGCCTCCCACATGCCCCAAGCTCAGGGACCAGGTGGGTTTGATGGCAGGCATCTGCCAGTGTGGCAATTCCAGTTCTGTCTACCCAGGCTCTTCCCAGCCAAAACACAGGAGAGGGTCCCTGGTTGGGGGGAGGAGGGGCGGTGCACAGCCACCCCAGTTATTCAGGAAAACCAGGGTGCCGAGAGGCACCCACACAAAACCAGGAAGTGAGAATGCAAGCAGCTCCGTGCGGTTTATTAGCCCAGCGACCATGATTTTGACCTTGCCGTGGGTTAAAGGACACAAACCTGAGACGCAGTGTTTATCACGTGGGAAATTCATGCCATCCTTGACAGGCGACGCTGAGCAAGATGAATGATCCGCCAGCTCAGCCCCTCGCATGGGTGAATCGGGGCAAATTTACAGAACCACTCCTCGCTACCTCCAATTCCAAAACGACATTTGCTGGGGTTCAGATCCAGTTGTCTGCTGACCCGGGGGTGACAGAGGGAAGAAATCCGATTTACAGGAATCATATTGCCTTTGAGATTGATACAACCATCGCTGCCTCTTGCGCCCAGCCTCTTTTACATCTATCACAAAGCACTTGGGTTGGTTTTTAACCTGATTTTGCTGGCTGACAACACAGCTGGCCATGATGGTGCTGGTTGAATTGCGGTCGTTTTATTTATTTGCACTACAGTTCTCTCTCAGTTCTCATACAAAATATTTCTCCTCTTTGGAATACAATCGCCATGCTCTGGAGTCAAGATCAGGCACCCAGCAGGGCATAGATAGTAAGCTCCATAGATGGCACAGTGAAAGGAAATTCCATGCTGTTGCATGTTCTCCTGGTTGGGGCAGTGAGCAAGAAGAGACCCTGAGGCCTGTCCTTAGTCACTTGTCCTTCTGTGGCTCAGAGCACTTGAAACCTAGCCTTGCCTGTACCCCCTTTATGCCCTTCATTTGTTGGTCTGAGGGCAGAGGGAGAGTGTGCTCCCTCAGTGGGCAGGACCTCAGCACCGAGCCCCTCCTTCTCCTCCTCCTCCTGGATAAACTTCCTCTGTCATTGGCTACCAGAAAGTGGCCAGTTTTTAGTGATCATTCCCCACTCCCTCCCCCCCCAAACAAATTTAAGCTTGTGCAGTCAGTTTTCACTGGTGATGCTAAAGAGAGATAGAGGACGGAGTAGTGCATGTCTGTAATCCTAGCTACTCAAGAGGCAGGGGGTAGGACCTTACTGATAAGGCTAGTCTAGGCAAAAACACAAGCCCTATTCTGAAAAATAAACCTAAAGCCAAAAGGGCTGGTGGCATGGCTCAGGTGGTAGAGTGCCTGCCTGGCAAAAGTGAGACCCTGGGTTCAAACACAGAAAAAAAAAAAAAGAACAGAGGACCTACTTACCCCGAGGGCAGAGGTGGCATTTCTCACGGGCCATGATGACCCCAGTGAGGTACATTCCTGAGCAGGAACGTGCGGTACCTGGTAGTGACGGTATCCCAGCCATCTGTGGTTCTCTTTAGCTGCTGCTGGTACCAGGTACCAGTCCCCCACGCCCCCCCCCACTCCCCACCCCCACCTCATCATCTCCCGCGCCTCCATGGGCTCTTACAGGGTAGCAGGCGCAGCTCGGGTTCAAGTGTCTCTGTAACTGTGGCGGCTGCCCATCACTTGATGACCTGTGCATTCTTTTTTTTCTGGGAACTATGGATAATTATGTAACTTATCATCTACCCTCAGTCCTTCTGAATTATTAGAATTACAGGGTTTCACTAGATGAAATCATGACAGTGATAACACATGATTCATATGACATTTTTTTCTTTTTTTGTAAAATGCACTGATATTAAATCTTAGGAGCCTTTTATTCAAACCTCTAGGTTGTGTGTGTGTGTGTGTGTGTGTGCACTTGTTGGTGTTATTTTTGTTCTTCTAATGCAGAAAATTAGAGGTTACTCTCAGTTAAAACTACTCTCAGACAATGCCTGACATCCGTGGCCCGCACACCGGCACTTGTGCGGGAGGCATTTAATTAGCCTTTCGTGGAGAAAGTCTCTGCACTGTGAACTGTTCTCATCCCAGCTCTTCCTGTTTTCCAGAAAGCACTCCGAAGACCTCGGCCAGCTGCAGCCCAGCCCCTGAGTCCCCGATGAGTTCCAGTGAGTCTGTGAAGAGTCTAACGGAGCTGGTCCAGCAGCCCTGTCCCCCCATTGACGCCAGCAAAGACGGCAAAGCCCCGGAGCCCAGTGACCCGCCAGCCTCTGACTCCCAACCCCCCACCCCGCTGCCTCCCTCCGGACACTCGGCCCTCAGCATCCAGGAGTTGGTGGCCATGTCTCCAGAGCTGGACACCTACGGCATAACCAAGAGGGTCAAGGAAGTGCTGACGGACAACAACCTCGGTGGGTGTCTCCCCAGAGTCCTTGGGGAAGGGACCACAGGCCGAGCCAGCCAGGAGTTGAATATGGACAGGCTACTTACAAAAATGTGGTCCAGCCCAGCCTGGAGTCTCTCACCCCTAACACTGGCTACTCAGAGGTGGAGATCAGGAGGACTATAGTTTGAGGCCAGCCTGGAGAAAAAGTTAGAGCCCCATCTCAACAAGCATGGTAGTCCTGCAGGCATCCCAGCTACAGTACAGCTGAAAATAGGAGGCTCATAGACCGAGGCCAGCCCCCAGGGAAAACACTAGCCCTGTCTGAACAATAAAGCCCAGATGGCTGGAGTGGAGGTCTGTGGTCAAGTGCCTACCTGGTCTATGCAAGGCTTGGGATCGATCCCTGGCACCAAAAATTAATAGTATTCCAGGGCTGTGAGCACTGAGGGCTCCTAAGGAAGCTAGTGTAGGGGTCCATCCCAGGCCTTTCCCTGGGACTGTTGGAAGATGGCCTATGGTCCAGCACACATCACAAAGTCCAGTCAGCTCAGGGCTGGAACCTTCCCAGCAGAGCCCTGAACCCAAGGCTGACACCAGAGCCAGGCAGTGCCATGGTTTCCTGGGAGGCTGAGGGCTACTCCCCAGGCTTCCCCCTCCTTGTGGTATGCAGCAAGCCCTCTGGTAAAGCTGGGGTGATCATGCTGAGAGCCCCCAGCCCTGTGTGTAGCTGGCACCCTTGTGCTGCCTGGTGAAGCTCTGTTCCCCAGAATACCTCCACAGAACTGGCTTCCTCCCCTGGGCACTGCCTGGCACAGGCCACAGCCTTGGCTCTGCCCATAGCGGCTGCTGAGGGTTATAACCCCGCTGGATGGCAGCCATGGCGAGAATGGGGGTAATCTGCAATTTCGCATCACACGCTCACACACACACACACGGAGCCAATGCAAAAGGAAGCTGCCTTCTCAGCTACTGCCACACACACACTCACTCACACACACACGCACACACACACAC